CCAAAAAAGATAAGAAGAAAAGTTCAAAAAATATTTTACATTTTAGTATATATTGAGTAATATTTAAATTTCATTAATGTGGTAATTATATGTCTTCTCTAAACATTTTTATTATCTTAAATATACTAGTATCTCTATAAAGTTATTTTTAATTTATTTTTAAAATCAAAGGAAAAGAAAAAAAGGATTTTGATTTAGTCTTTCTACCCCAAAATTAATTAGCTCAAATTCATGACCTAAATCCCTTTAAGTCCAAAACATTGAGCTCATACCCCATTCTCCATTTGACCTAACATAATTCCTACCCCTATAAACTAACACCTAACTCCTAAAATCAAAAAGGGACGATATTTCCAATCCCCTTAACAAAAAAAGGAAGCCATCCCTCAGCGACAGAGCACCCATCGCTGCTTCTTCTTGTTCCCTTCACCACACCTACAAGACCCTGCCGCACCCCCAATCCCTTTCGACGATGATCTGCCTGAAACACATACGCATAAGAACAAAAAAAAAGGAACGGAGGGTAAAACAGAAACAGAAAAGGGAAAATGGAGAGGAACAGACCAAAAGTTAAAAGGAGACAATAACTTCACTTCTCATTTTGTTGCCTTTGAAATCTCATATTCTTTTATAAAATAAAGACAAATCCCAATTCCACAAAAATATCTTTAAAAAAAAAGCTATGTTTAGCTTCCTTTGTTAGATTTCATTGCTGGTTTGACAAAGTCTTGGTTCGTCCATTTCTGGTTGATCCGCTCGTGGTTCCGATAAGGTTTTCGATCATGGATCTAGTGTTGCTGTAGTAACTGCTATTGGAACGTTGTAGAGTTTCTTTGTGTATTACAAATTTGAAATTTCTTCAATCAAGGTCCATTTCTACTTTTAATCTTTTATTTCGTGCATGGCGTGATGTTTAATGTTATCGAGCTTACATTATTGGTGCACTGTTTATATGTTTATGGGTTGATTTGTTCTTAGCTTGAAAAATTATCATGATGCCATGCTGATTTCTGATTTCTCTTCATTAGCTTTAAAATTGCCATTAGTGGTAATATTCATGGTTTTAGATTCCATATGTGCGTTTCTTGTTAGTTGCCAAATAGATTAGGTGAATAAGCATTCATCATAATTGAACTTGGTTTGGAATTTAGGAAGATTGGTTGGCGCTTTACTGGGGGGTCAGCGTTTGTTTTTTGGAGTAATTGAGGTGTGCCATGTTGAATAAAATCCCAAAACCCATGACCTTCACTTAATTAATTTTTAACTCTTTTAAAATCGAGGTGTGCCATCAATTGATTTTTCCATGGCCCTCGCAAACCTGAAAGTGTGTAGTTGCTTTAGGCATGCTATTTAAATTAATTTCCTTAACCTCGGGTGTGCATTTATGTGACCCATATCCAAATCTCACAATGTTAGATAAAATATATCGGGGACCGCGGGTGCATTTATGTGACGTGGTTCAAGACGTGTTTTGGATGACGTTGAATCTTTCTTAAAAAATAATTAATCAAAAGCGGTTCTAAAGTTAAAATTGCACCATGAGCTAAAACATGTACTAAAATCAAGTAAATAGGCCAATTGTAACAGTTGAGAGACCATGCTAGAAACACGAAACTCGGGAATGCCTAACACCTTCTCCCCGGTTAACAGAATTTCTTACCCGGGTTTCTGTATTCGCAGACCATAAATAAGAGTCAATCTTTTCCTCGATTCGGAATTTAAACCAGTGACTTGGGACACCATAAAATTATCCCAAATAGCGACTCTAATTTTTTAAAAATAAAATAATCTCGTTTCAATTGTCACTTAAATTGGAAAAACTCTCTTATATACCCTTCTGGGGTGCAATGAAAAAGGAGGCGTGACAGTGTTCCGCATTCGTGATGGGGTGTCGTGTTCGCATAGAGTTGAAGCTGAGGAGTTGGAGGGAATATATTCGCGTTCGCGAAGTAGCAGTCGCGTTCGTGAAGGGTTGGTCCTGTTGTACATCGCGTTCGCGAGGTCTATGCCGCAAACACATAGTCTTTTTGTGCTGGTATGATTTTGTTCATCGCGAACGCGATGGATTTTTCGCATTCGCATAAGAGGAATACCTGGGCAGATTATGAAGTACTTTATTTTGAGGGTATTGGCCATATTTTTTACATTTTGGAGATTTGGAGCTCAGATTGAGGTGATTCTTGGAGCAATTTTCATCATGTGGACCGGGGTAAGCGTTCTTTACTCATTTTTGATTTTATATCATGAATCTATCTTCGTTTTTGGCATTTGATTGAGGGTTCCAAAAGAGAAAATTTGGGGGTTTTAGCCCAAAGTTTTATAATGTAAATTTTCGAGTTTTAAACATCGATTTGGAGTCGGATTTGAGTGAAACCAGTATGGTTGGACTCATAATTAAATGGGTTGTCATATTTTGTGAGTTTCGTCGGGTTTCGAGGTGCGGCCTGGGTTTTGAAATTTTGGCCAATTTTGGGTTTTTGATTAAGGATTCGATCTTTATCATTTGGAAGTGTTTCCTTGGGCGTTGTTTGATTTATTTGAGTTGCTTTTGGCTAGTTTTGAGCCGTTCGGAGGTCGGTACGCGCGTGACGACATTTTTTTAGCATCGCTTGGCTTGCTCAGTATTGGAATTGGCTTTTTCGAGGTAAGTAACACTTCTAAACTTAGTGCTAAGGGTATAAAACCCCGAATTATGTATTATGTGATTAGTGTTGAAGTAACGCACATGCTATGTGAGAGGCGTGTGGGCGTGCACAGTGTAAGTTGTGACTCTGTTATTTCCGTGATAGTGTGTAGTTACCTAAACATATATGTAACCATGAAATCTCTACATACTAAAGTAATTGAGTTGCCAATCATACTAGAGATCATGTTTAGGCTATATGCTGGTACTGTTGGGACCCATAGTGGTCGTTTTTTGCGATTAACTTGTTGATTTCATTGAAATTTCATACTCGGTCATATTCATTAATTACATATCATATCTTAGTCTCTGTTGTTATTTATTGATACATCATATCATTATTTTCGGGCTAGTTTCATGACATTGTGAGCCCGTGAGAGAGAGAGAGATTGATGACTAAGTGAGGCTGAGGGCCTTGATTGTGAGGATATTGTTACCATAGCACGTGAGTTGTCTGTGCAGATTATTGCGCTTGGGCTGAAGGAACCCCTCCGGAGTCTGTACACACCCCCAGTGAGCGTAAGTACCTACTGAGTACGAGTGCCGAGTGATTGGGAGGATTGAATGGCTGTGAGGACTGAGTGACTATGAGGACTGAGTGACTGGGAGGACTGAATGAATTGATATTCTGAGAGTTTTCATATGGTTTTATCACTGAGTCGCATCGCATTTGGCATGCACACTTGACATACAGGCATAGAGACGCATTTTTTCCTCATGTTGTATGGTATCATGTCATTCATGACTTCTCACACATATTGACATATGGGCATAGAGATGTATTTTACACTTGCTATCTGGAAAGAAAATGAAACATCTTATTTATTGTTGAAAAGATTTATGGTAAAAATTACAGTTTTCAAACTTACTCATATTTCGACGATTTCGATAAAGGATTTGGGTTTTCACTGATATACTCGGGAACTATGAAAAAGTTGAGCATTTTATCTCTGAGTTACTCCTTTTATTACTTGTTTTACGTTGTTATGAACTGTTGTTGGCTATTGGTGTTGGACCCGACCTTTGTTCCAGCTCGTCACTACTTTCAACCTAAGGTTAGGTTTGTTACTTATTGAGTACATGAGGTCGGTTGTACTCATATTACACTTATGCACCTTGCGTGTAGATGTTGGCTGTTGATGTTGTTGTGATCGACGGGAGTTAGAATTGAAGACGCACCTGCTATTCCGGTTGTAGTTGTCTCTTGTTCATGGTAGCCTTATATTCTTAAAACTCTGTTTTATGTAATTTTTGAACAGATGATGTATTTATTTCATACCAACTTTGTAAATTCTATTCTTAGAAGATCATTTGTACTACCAGCCCTTGGGGAATATGTAAGATTCAGATAATTTTTTTATCTGTTGGTTTTATTAATTTCATTGAAATTGGATATTATTAATTGGCTTACCTAACGGGTTGGGTTAGGTACCATCATGACTAGTTGGATTTGGGTCATGACAATCGATATCGTGTCGATATATANACTTTCTTTTTTTCTTTATGTTCATCAATTAACTCTAAGCAAGTAACAAAACATTTCTAATGATTAAATTTATTCCTTTATTTACAATTTTCTCTCTCTTGGTTGATATTTGCTGGTTTTGGACAAAACTTTTGTCAATAAACATTTTTAATTTTGTACTTTTGAGTACTTTATTTAAGAACATTACAGTCTATGACTCTATGCACTAGTTAGTATTCAAATCAAAGTTACCGAACCGAATAAATCGAAACTGAAAGGAGAAAAACTGAACCATATCGAATTTAATTATGTATGGTATTGGTATAGTATTTTAAAAAAATCGAATACCAAAAATATCGAACCGAAATATCTAAATACCATATCATACCGACCGACAAACACCTCAACTAAAAAGTAGCTCGAAAGAGTACATGTATAGTGACAAGATCGAGTAATACTGACGAAGGGGGTGACCTAAAAATGAAGACAAACTTAGGTAAAGGAGTTATAAAGAATGACTATTTTCTATTTGGAAATAATTTACCTTTATGCAATGATTTATAATCACATAAAATATATGTGCCTCATTTTACATCACAAATTCAAAAGTCTTCTTTTTTTTCCTAAACTCCGTGCCCAGTCAAATGAGTTCACATAAATAAAAATGGAGTACAAAAGAAAAAATAAAAAAATAAAAACTAACACAATAATTCTGTCACATATGAGTCTTTTTATGGTCACATATTAATGAATTTAACAATACAACATTTAAGTAACAATAACAAAATATTTTATTTAAAATAACAATAAAATAGAATACAATATAGGAATACACAATCCAAACAGCTAGATGCCATTTTGTCCGATCTCCTCCCAAATTTTCAAAAGTATTTCCCATGCCCATCCTCAGCAGCCCTAAAAGCAATTGTCACCACATCCACTGCGTACACATTGAGGGAATTTACAGTTTAGCAATTTTTCAAGAATAGAATAAAAGAAGAAGAAGAAGAAGAAAGAAAAATTAATTAAGGGTCTCTTAGAACCATACTAATGACTTCTCATATTTGGATTAGGGGAAGGATAGGTATTGCTCCAAGTCACCCTGTTACTGCGACCTCGGACTAAATCATTCCTATCTTCTTCTGGCATATGTAGGAATAAACATCATTGAAAATATGATTAAATAAATAGAAATAAATTCTTTATAAAAGCTTAAACTTTCAGATAAGTTGGTCGTACATACACTTTAACTACATTTACCTTCGGATTTGATAGGGGACAGCTCCAAAATCCTGGCTTGGCTTTGTAGACACCACTCATCCATTGATAACATGAGAATTATTACAAGAAGACAATAGAATACAGCAACCTTCTTCATTTCTGGATATTGCAAATTTAACGTACCACAATGTTTGTTTAAATATAGAAATAAATGTTTTGAGATATGTTAATTTGTAGTTGTGATGAAGAAACTCATCCCTCCTAAAATACCCATTTTATTGTGCGTTACAGTAGTGCTTCTAACGCACTTGCATCAGAGTCAATACAACGTATGTATGAGTGGACATCTTCGGTCAAAAAAGCTAAGACGAAAACCCAAAATCTGGTAGTTTCCCAAATGTTAGTAAATAACATAAGAAAGAAAGCTATGAAGCGTGAATTAAATTTGTATGTTTATTCGTGTTTGAGCTGAGAAGATGTACACTATTTTTCTTAAAAAATTATTGCTAATTGTGGTGCAGTGCTAGAGCTGAAGTTCGCCAGTTACAAAACAAAAACTACAGCTCTAGAGCTGAAGTTCGCCAGTTACAAAAACAAAAACTTCAGCTCTAGAGCTGAACTTCAGGCCCGGCTACTAGAATGCTGAAGTTTTGCGTGATTGCCTTTGCTACTTCAGCCCCGTATGCTGAAGTTATGCGAAAAAGCGGGTACGCTTGCAAATTTTTTTGTAAAACGGGCACAAGTTAAAACGTGACACAAAAAACGGGTATACATGCAAATGCCCCGTATTTGCTTAGCCCATTAAATTTTAAAAAAGTCTTATTTTTGTAGTTTTTTCACTTCATCTATTGTTTCTTCTAAAGCAGGAAGTCGTCCACTGCTGCCCAACTCTTCTCTAGAACTATCAGTTTCAAGCCTATACATTATATTATTGACTCAGTAAAGACCACTTCTTTTGCTAATTATTAGGAGAAATTATTCTTGCTGACTCTTTATATTTTTTCAAAAAAGATGGAAGAAAAAATGAACTATGATCCTACATTCCTACTAGGGTCGATTAAAAACAAAAGAAGATGGTTGTTAACAAACCAAATCCCAATTGCATTCTAACAATCACTTTATTATCAACTCCATTTCCACTTCTCCCTTTTATGGTCTAAGCTGGAAATTTCGTTTCAGTTTAAAACAAAAAAACTCAAGAAACTTAATAACAATCTTGCCAAAATTATGAAGCGAAATTAAAGTGACCACACACAAAAACCTACTAATTGTAAAGTGCAAGCCGACCCATCTCATTATTTAACCTTTTCTTGGTTTGGTTATTTGATGGTGGATAAAGATTATCAAAAGGGAGAAAAGCATGCAGGGATTTTGTTATGTACTTAAAAATGGAAATGAGAATCAATGAAAGAAAACAGAGTTTTATTGATCAAACACTCTCAATTGATTACAATATGGCCCAATTAGATAAACTCTGTAATTGACCTAAAAGAATTGAAGAAAAGAGAAAGAAAGAGATTGGGGAGAAGGAAGATATGAGAGAGGAGAAGGTAGAGAGAGAAAGTAGTTAGGAAATGTGCTGACTGGCAAAAGCTAACTACCTCAGCTCCCAATTCTGCTATTTATCTAACTAACTATCCTAATTGAGCTTAATGGGTAATTGTAGTAGTGGGCTTCAGTCGCTTCTTCAAAAAAACCCAATAAGCGAAACCCAATAAGATTTGACCCATGACCCTTCTTCATAAGTGGTAAAAATAGCACGGTGTAGCTAGTTTTCGGACTGGTCATTCAAAAACAGTCAGCGTTTACCAAGTCAATGAAAAATAGCCACTATTTTGCTATAGCAGAGACTGGTCCAGCATAATATACTGGAGTTCGGTGCATCTGTATATGAACTCCAGCATATTATGTTGGACCGGTATACTTTGCTTGCTCCAGTATAATATACTGGAGACTGGAGCACCGGTGCTCCAAATTCCAGTATATTATGCTGGACCGGTATACTTGCTGGAACTCCAGTATATTATGCTGGAGTTCTAGTGTACTTATGCTGGAACTCCAGCATACTTATCTTGGAACTCCAGTATAATATGCTGGAGTTCAAGTATACTTATGCTGGAACTCCAGCATAATATACTGGCGTATTTTTCGGGTTTTGAACAGTATTTTCGCTCAGATTTATCTTTACATGAAAAGTGGCTAAATTTCGATTACGTTGAAACTGGACTATTTTTGAACGACCAGTTGTAAATCTGGCTATTTTTGAATTTCACCTTCATAAGTGTTGTACCCTACTTTCCTTATTTGTATCGACATTTCCCTTTTCTTGTCTGAACATTACAATCCCTTTCCCTTCAAAAAGACCTTGTCCTTAAGGTCATTGCTGAGCTATGAACTTAGGGAAATGACTTTTAATGCAGCCCCGTATTGCGATAGGCGTCATCACGACACGTGAGATTTTGGTCATGACAAGTACCCATTAGTGTCCCGGGAAGGGACTTATCAGAAGTTTGGAAACATTCTTCCACGAGTTTCAGAAGTTCTTTAGCACTTTCAGTTTTGGGAAAAGTAGTCTTAATGTTGCCCGCAATATTCATTCATAGAAATATTAGTTAGACCTATCCTAGTGCTTAAAATAGGACGTTTCTTCAGCAGTGCTAGTTTCAGTAATAGCAGTTGGCTTCTCAGTATAAAGTGCAATATCAAGATCTAAAATTTCGAGATGAAATTTGATCTATTCCCACCAATCTGAGAAGTTGAGTTCGTTAAAGGGTCGTAACAGAAGCAGAGAGCGAGTAAAGAGCAAGTGCTACAAATAAAATATGCTCATTTGTTAATGCTTTGAGTTATAAATTTTAATATACTATTATATTCAGAATAGTTTATGTATTGTTAAATGTATATTGATGTCCTCCTTTGGGCGAATTATCAAAATAATACTTTAGACACTATGATGCTTAAATATTTAACTTAACTTGATATTTTTTTAATGCACTAGTTAATAATACTTACTATCTTTTGATATATAAATAAAACTAATAGCGCATTCAAATTATCAACTTAATGTTCAATGATTATAAGAGCAAACAATCAATCTTTGGGCAATCCATAAATATCTTATAATTAAGAAATTAAATTTACCCACAAAAGAAAATCCATTGTGTCGCTTATAAGCATCAAAATTTATGGGTAATTTAGTATAACAGATCATATTGAAATTAATTGTTCCTAAAGGTTCGATCACTTTGGCGATTAACAAATCATACCTATATAATTCCAAATATTATAAAAGTTATATTCTTCAAACTTATTTGAATGGATCCATTATTGAAGAAATTATTTATGGGTAAATCAAATCCTCATTACAGTGGCTAATACATTATTTGATTTCATTCCACCCAACCTTGCATTAATTAATATTTTATAAGGCTTGTTGGAACGAAACCAACATGTAACTGAACAATTATATATCGGATGATGCCGAATTCATAAATCAGAGACCAATTATAATAGAGAAATTTTCATAAACCACTATCTTTCAGTGGTAATTAGTTATTTATAGATATCATTTGCTATATTACAGATTGTAGATACGTTTTCTGTTGTTATAAGTTGTATTAGATATATTTAAGCTACTGTATTCATGAATAAAGTAGTAAAAATAGGCGTGAATCAGGGAAGTCCAGCTAACCAGTTGTTGTATTCGAGTGTATTCGACTGTAATCATGGCGTGAAACATAGGATTATAGCTGGACAGATTATTGTATTCGACTGTATTCACGGCGTGAAATAGGGGATTACACTATTTTTAAACGGAAAGTGATCAATTAACATAATAGACTCCTAATATAACTCAACAAACTCAATTATAACACACAAATTTTGTATTTCCAGTTATAAAAAGGATTCTCAACCGAAAAATACATATAATACATCGGGATACATTGAAATACAATGAAAAAAAAGACAGTGAATACAATGAATACGTGGAATACAGCGAGATGCATTGAATTGCAATGAAAAAAAGATAATCAATACAATGAAATACATGAAAATACAGTGTGATACGTTGAAAATACATTGAAATATATTAACAGAAAATCAAGTTGCTCAACCCCAAATTCCGTCGTCTTTATTCAAGAACAAACCCTAATTTCCGGCAAATCCTTCGTCGAGCAAAAATCCTGAATCTCACTATCCCTACGCATCAAAATTACAAATAAAATCAACATCAAAATTACAGGCCTTATGTCCCTCTTGTCTCTCATCATCCTTTGTTAGCAGTAACTTCAGAAGTCAATCATATCTTCAACTCTGTACAGCAAATCTCCTTCTTCGTCATCATCCATCTAAAAAACACCAAATCACCAAAGTAAACAACAGGAAAAAAAAATAATCAAATTGAGTAGCAGAAGGAGCAAGATCCCCTTACACAGTTGAATTGGACGGGAAAGAAGGAAGAGACAAATGAAGCGAAATTCACAAACTACTAGTTTTAGGGCATCTAAGTTGGCAAATAAAACGTGAACTCCGACAGAAAATGAGAAAGAATCAAGTTAGAAAATGTAATTTTGATGTGAATTTGTTCTGTTGCAGTTTATGTTATGTGGTAGGTGATGTGGGTGAAAGAAATTTTGAGATTGAACATCGTGTTTTTAGGGAATGGGGGAAGAGAATGACATGTATCAAAGTAGAGAGAGAAAGAAAATAATGTAACTGAATAATGTATTTAGTGGCTTAGGGGTAGGAGATAACCAAAATTAGATATTTTGCTATAAACAATAAAAGGTATCTATAGAATATAATTTTTTTAAATGATATTTATTTAAATAAATAAGGTGTTAACCTTTGCTATATGAAGTAAAAATTTCATTATATTATAATCTATATTATATTAAAAGGAGAGTAGTGAAGTATGAGGTTAAGCCAAGTGACAAGCTAAAAAAAAGTCACTTGGCAATTTTAAGACAACATTAAAAATTTGAATTATAAATGGAAGTAATAGTTCAATAAGAATTATTTTTTAATTATGATACAAATCTCTATTAGTAGTATAATTTAGTTAACATTTTTTTCGTATAATTATGGTAGGTACGAAATATATTATGGTAGGGACGGATTTTAATTAATTGATCAAGCTTTGTAAC